AAATATCACTGTTAGTCACTGGTGCTTATTACTTGTGCTTGTGGTAGTGGAATTACTGTTAGTCAGGTGATGAATATTTTTACATTTCATGTATCCTTCCACATATTCCTACTTTGTTATTACGTAAATCAATTTGGTTTCCATCCGGCAATCGTTGTTAGTGCGATTGCCAATATTCTACTCGTCGGAGTTTGAACATTTTTGACTTTCATCGCAAAATATCTCCCGCGTCCATTTCCTTATTGCTACCGTTATCATTCCGGTAGGAACGCGTCGGAATCGTGCTTGACTGGCGAGAGTGGGCCCGACATCGTTGATTCATTTTTTTGGGTCAACAATGAACATTACTCTTTAATTAAATATGTTATGATATCAAATTGATTCCACAAGATTGTTGACACCATCAATTCTTCATGCCTTGTACAATTCTGATTGATGGGGAACGAAGATGATTGAACATCGGTTAGTGCCTATATTATTTCCCTTGGCAAGAATCCCATTTCTTGGAGCTTCAAGATGCAAGATTTGTTGCTCGAACCTCAAACAAGACCAAGTACTGATCCGGTGCCTCACCGTTAATGAACTTGTCATTCTTTGTTCCCAATAAGAGTCAAGAATAACAACGCAAGTACCAGCTCGCTGCAAAGCAGGAGGTCAACATAAGCAATGCATTGCCAAATTAACTCCATGATATTTTAGGTGAAAATAATTAATAGTGTCTTCACTGCAATTAATCTTCAATTTGTCTATCACTTTATCTTTTTCCCGTCTGCTTCTTCCAACATTCATTATACTTTCACATGTCAACTTTAAGTACAGACAGCACGCTGCTATTGTACATGGCCTTACCTGCCTTTTGATTATCAATTACCAACAAAATAAAGGAGTACCCTAATACGTTGTATTATCTTTCTAGACTGGCCCCTCTTTTTCTTTTTCTTGTGAGGTAAATTGTTGGTTTCTAAAGAATGACTCGTATAAGATGTTTATCCATTATCCCTTCTTTGTTCACACATTAAACTCATTTCAACTCAGAATACCAGTCTGTATTAGGAACATATGATAAATCTATATGTTGAGAAGTTAGGGGAAAAAAGGTAGGCTGATGGCATGGGCAGTGGGTTGGGTTGGGTTGGGGTGGATCCCTGTACCCTGACCAAAGAACTTGTGTTTGGGATCTGGGGACCATTTATTTAGTAATACTATAAATCTAACTGTTTCTGCTCCTTCTCGAGATTCCCATCACTGCTTGTTTTCATTTTTCATAGAGACTGATAATTCCTTTTCTGCAGATATATATTAATTCATTTCATGCATAAAATGAAAACGTATATCAAAAATTCCTTTTCTCTGATTGTGAAAGTATCCATGAAATGAATAGGAAAAAAAACATTAATAGATATTATGATACTTGAGTCTTGTCATGCATCAAAGATATTTCTTCTGCAGAAACTTGAATTTTGATTGATAAAGCAAAACATGCGTGAATATTCCAAGTAAAGAACTGATATATATTTAAGCAAGAATTTCGGAGTTCAATAATAATAGGTCTGGAATTGGTCAGTATGCTAAAACTAAAGTAAAAATACTTGTCTCCTACACTAATGTTTTCAAGCAGTGTGTTGTAAGGTCATTGTTTATTATCTGTGTTTAGTAGTTTGTGCAAAATATATACTTGCCAGATTACTTTTTGTGAACTTTTGCTGACAGATTGGTGGTATCATTTATCTATGCACACAGTCATCTTTAAATTAATTCTTAATACTGCATGTCGTTGAGAAAAATCTTCCATGTTTTTCACTGTTCCAGGTAAAGTTCAAGAGTAATGGTAATGCTATGCTACCTGCTCGGGTTGCAACCCCGGTGGCACTAGACGATATACTAAATAAAAGGTAGAATTACTTGAGTTATTTAATTTTACTTATCATTTAATGCCACATTGCCGCTACCTACACTGAGATTGCAACCCAATGAGGCTAAATAGCATTGCTCAAAGTTTAAAGGGACACTTCCAATATGAATTTGTAAGTCACATAAATCTGTCTCTTCCCCTCGTATGGCATTGTCTTTACATAATATTAGACATGCTTTAACACAATAATGTACGTACAAATTTCATTTTTTCATCGTCTAACACCAACCTATCTGCATTACCAAGTATGCATTTTATGATTGAGCTCTTGAAAAGCTGATGTTTTAATTTCATTTTCTTGACCTGGATAATTTATTCCCTTAAAATTTTCGTCACTCTTTCCAATTATTTATTTATTTTGGTTGTTCTTAGTGCACGTCTGGTACTATTCAATTTGTTTTATGGTTTGCTATAGAACAATTTTAAAACACACATTCACGCGATGAAATATTTTACACGTATACCAAAAACTGTTTCCTACTTTTTAACTACACATTCTCTTATGAATCACTATTCAAAACTCTTTTTTGTACTAAAATGGTTGTCAAACAGGCTCTTAGTCAACAATCTTCGATTTCACACGAGCTAATCATTGGGGTCAAAAAGCACGTTTCAGATAATTCCTTTTCCAAACGCAGAAAGAAACTTCAACACGGCTATGCTTTCTGTCAAACATG